CAGTGAGCCTTAGTGATCCCGTTCCTGAATATCTGAGACATCTGCACCTCCAGAATGACAAATGACCCACCGACAGGGGCCAGGAGGACTTAGGTCAGAACCTCATTTTGCCGTTCACCGGCTTGACCTCTGGTGCATGGCTTCTGCAAAATGGAGAAGTTGGAAAGGAGAGGAAGGGAGTTGTGAAAATTGGATAGAGTCTCCTTAGACTCAATTTTAACCCGTGTGCAAAGGGCCTTTGGGAAACTGAGGCATGGCATCAGAATAGGGTCACTGAGTACAGTGGTGTAGTCATGGCTTCTTGCAGGAAATGATGCCTGGCCTGAATCTCAAATGATAAAGAAGAATTTGTGCTGCTGGAAAGTCAGTGGAGATAGCAACAAGATGTTTATTAAAGCCATCCTCTTACTTAGCTGATTGGGAAATAGTTTAGCATCTCTTAGAATTCCAAAGACTCCAATATGTGAATCTCACAGCCCAATACCTGTTTTCATTTTGATTTGGGTTGGGTTTTTGGTTTTTGTCATTTTGTTTTGTTTTTTGGGACAGGAGTCTGCATCTGCAGCCCTGGCTGGCCTGAAACTCACCATGAAGACCAGACCATGATGGTCTCTGCTGTGGGATGTTCTGTATGGCAAATGTGTTGCTCTGATTGGTTAGTAAATAAAACACTGATTGGCCAGTAGTCAGGCAGGAAGAAGTATAGGTGGGACAAGGAGGAGAAGAATTCTGGGAAGTGGAAGGCTGAGTCAGAGACACTGCCAGCCGCCATGATAAGCAGCATGTGAAGATGCTGGTAAGCCACGAGCCACATGGCAAGGTATAGATTTATAGAAATGGATTAATTTAAGATATAAGAACAGTTAGCAAGAAGCCTACCACGGCCATATAGTTTGTAAGCAATATAAGTCTCTGTGTTTACTTGGTTGGGTCTGAGCGGCTGTGGGACTGGCAGGTGAGAGAGACTTGTCCTGACTGTGGGCCAGGCAGGAAAACTCTAGCTACAGGTCTCAAATACACATAAATCTTTCTGCTTCTGTCTCTCAAATGCTAAGCTTAAAGGCATGCACTACCATATCCAGCTCCTCCTAACCTTTTGAGGGGAAAATGGTTTTTTTAAGTCGCTTTATTATTATTGAGGTCACTTGCAAATCTTTAAAAAGATACCATCTATGACAGGTACTTAAGCATACTGATGGTTACAATGTAGGTGAACAAATGTTTTCTTGGGACAGAGAATATCAAAAAAGAATTTGGACAAATAGCCATCCCAGGGCTGGAGTGGAGGTCAACAGGATGTGAGGTAGCTCTGCCTACCATCAGCTTGGTAGTAGGGTTAGGCAGCATGCTTACACAGCAGTCATTTCCATTTGGCTAAACATTCACCACAATAGATTCTGAAAAAAAGGACAGTGGTATGAGTCAACTTGGCCATTCGACATCAGCGATAATGATTCCTAAGGGATTGCCAGCATTCCCACAACGCTGTCTGCTGTTGACGGTCGAGTTCATGCCTATTGTCAAAAAATTTCAGTTGAGTGCTAGCTGGATACTGACACTGTGCTCCGAGAGCACAGGGTGTAAAGGAATGATACAAGAGAAAAGAACGGCTTGACCTTATGGAACATAGTCTCTGGTGTGTGATCCTTGTGCAAAGGGAAGCAGACTGAGCTTTAATGCCCACCCCATAGAATGAATAGCTTCTGCAATGAACAGTCTGCAATGGACACTTGGCAAAAGAATTTGAGCCAAACCTGTGCCTTTCATCTTCCTAATAACTAGTCCCCCCCCTCCCATCTTATCCTCTGTTGTAGCAAGACAACCTGATGCTGTTTACTTAATTATTCATGTTTTCAAGCCAATGAATCCTAAATCCTCCAGGAATACTTGTACCAGGAACCTAAAGGATGTTCACAGCGTTATAATCACTTCTGAAATTCTTATTCTTTTTCTCTTTTTTTTTTCAGCACTGGGATTTGAACTCAGAACTTCACAAATTCTAAGCAAGTGCCCCATGACTAAGTTAGCTTCTGAAATGGATTTAGATACCAAAAAAAAAAAAAAGGCACACTACCTTTTCACCTAACCTATCTATAAAAAAAAACAAAGTCAAATTAATTGTACAACTATCAGTGAGTAGATAGCTTTTACACGAGGTTAAATCTAAAGCAGCCACTGAGAAGGTATGTAATAAGAGTGTGCAATAATGTTAATTAAATGTTAGCAGACCCCGCAGATGGATCAGTAGGTAAAAATGCTTGCACCACAAGCCTGACACCCTAAGTCTGGATCTTGAGAACCCACATAAAAGGCCAATGTAGTAGTATCTGTAATCCAGAACCCCCACCTTAAGATGGAGGCAGAGACAGAATTGCTCACAAGTTCTTGGCCCAAGTAGCCTGGAGTATGCATTGCAAGACACACACACACACACACACACACACACACACACACACACACACACACACACATTAATTTTTGAAAGCCTCAAAATGTTAATCAGGTAGAACAAAAAAAATCATATATTCAATATAAGAAGCATGTGTGAAAACCTGTTAACACCTATAAAGAATGACAGACATGTTTTATACATGAATAACATACATATTGAAAGTGTATTTCTATTCTTTTTAAATTCCAGTTTTTGCTTTAGCAAACATGAATTATCTTGTGTGACTAAAACAATAATAGTGTTATGGCTACGGCTTTTAAAAAGCAAGAACAAGTTATGAGCAGCCTGTCACTGTGGCCAGACCTGATATGGGAATCCAAACTGCCCAAACTTAGAGTCATCAAACTGCTGTGTGATGGGGCAACTTACTGAACACAGTCTGCTGTTTGTTTCAACTTCTCATCTGCAAAATGGAGGTGGTCATCATCCCTGCCTAGCCAGTTGGTGTAAGAATTAGTATCTACATCACGTGGCGTGTTTGGCGCAGAGTCTAACATCTAGAAAGTACCCACCAACAAAAGCACAGGAAGTGTTCAGGGGTCTCAAAGGAAGAGCTGAAACATGGGTGGAAAGGTCCACAGATAACATATCCCAGTGACTTAGAAGTAACTCAGAGCTGTGTTTTCGGGGGGACATATTTCTCTCAGACAGATTCAATCCCCAAACTTTGTACTAACACATTTAAAGTTTCTCTGAAGATGATGGACAACACGTACATATTTGTTTTACGGGCAATTACTTCCTCGTTTGTTTTAAAGGGCACTCATTATATTTTGTTGCACAAAATGCCTTTGGGGTTTTAAAAAAAATCTAAAAACTATGTTTATAGGATTGCCAGAAAACATTCATTATTTTTCTATATGAAATGGCCTCGTAAAAATTCTGTTTATAGCCAGGCTATGGTGGCACGTGCCTTTAATCTCAGCACTCAAGAGGCAGAGACAGGAGGAATCTTCTTTGTGAGTTCCAGGCCAGTCAGGACTACGTAATAAAACTCTGACTCAAAAAGAAAAAAAGTGGGGAGGGGGGATTGATGTTGACAGTAGTAAACTTGAAGATAATAAATGTCCATACAATTATATTTTCTTGCCAAATATCTATTCCCAAACAAGTAAAAGCAAACGCTTGTCTTTTATCTCCCACACCCAACATCCTTCTTTCCGTACATCTATATAAAATTAAGTGATAATTACCCTGGGATCTTGTCCACAACAGGCTCTTGGTTTATTGGACAAATATTCATGTATTACTACTTGCCAATACTTTTCTTTTTTAAATGATTAACATTTAAATGATTAACCGTTAGCACTGCATGATTACTAAATCTTGACCAATAAAGAAGACTCCCGGGGAGTTAAGAAAGGATAGGTTGAAATTTGTATGTCTGGCCCCTCCTTTCCTGGAAATGAGGTGTTCCTTGAGAGGAAATCCTGTCGTAGGCTCCCAGAGATTTATTTTTTAATCTAACTTCTTATCTAAATTGATTTGATCTCCTGACCTGAAGTAATCTCGGCTCAGAGCAGCCTTTGGCAGCTTTTCCCTTCCCATGGTCCCTTCTATTTACCTGCGTGGAGTATCTACCTGTTTTTAAAGGTGGGGGCGGGGGCGGGGCGAAAGAAAGGAGGGCGGTGGGGGGAGGGGGAGGCTTGAGCTGAAGGTATTCATGGGGACTCTGCCAGCCATCTGCTGTGTCGCCTTCCTTCTGTTGCATAACCTTTCTCAGCCTCGGTTTCTTTGACTGAACAGTGGGTATATCAAGGACGTCTCACAAGTTTACAGTGAAGAGAGCAGATGTAAATGGGCGTAGCAGGCGCTTCGGTAGCCCGCCCCCTTCCCCTGGTTAGTCTGTTGGAGGCCACACAGTCCCTGGACTGGGTCGCTCTTGATCGCCTTCCTGTCTCTCCTCCCACACAAGAAAGGCAAAATTCTGAACTCCGAATTCTTCATTTAGAACATGTGCGCTCTCCATTAGCCATATCTGACTCGCTCACCTTTTAAGTCCTGGAGGACCTGGGAAGGCAATGAGCGCAGCTTCTCTGGGGTGAGGGCTAAGCAGAAACCCCATCGTATCCTGTCCTCATCTATGAAGTCCAGGTTGGACTCTGCCTTCCTCTTCAATCACTCAAAGACTAAACTGATAGAACAACCTCGGAGAGTTCCAGAGATATCGCCTCCCAAAATCCCTGAACCAATCTCACCTGGTCCCATGACAAAAAGATGAAGTCTAGAGACTGAGCTGTCATTTGGCAAGGTGCATGGTCGGAGAGGGAAGCGCCCTGGCCACTAACTCCTGCCCAACCTGAGTTCCCCAGCTCCCCCAACCCACTCTCGCCTCTGCCACCTCCTCTCCAGCGCTGCCTGCCGCGGGAAGGTTCAGAGCCGCCGAGGTGCGTCCCCACTCTGGGGAGTCCAGCCTGAAGCCGGGGTTCGCCCGGCACTCCAAACCCGCCTCACTCCGAGCTCTTCCCCACTGAGCACGCTGCCCGTCGACGTTCGTTCATGCGCTGGAGCCCAGCAGGGCATTGCGCTCTGCAGAGAAAACGCTAACCTGTGGAAGTAATGTGAGGAGAAGAGACCCAGCAGCAGGTTCCCGGGCTGTCCGAAGAGGGAGCGGGGCTGCCAAGCCAGCATCCCTACTGACACGACGAAGGAGGGAAGCTCCTGCAGGAACCAGGCGACGCGTGCTGGCAGGAGGGGGACTCTCGACGACAGGCTCTGGCTGTGTTTCCCGTACCTGCCGGGTGTCCCTGAGTACAGGATCAGGGTCCCCATGGTAGCCAAAGCGGCGCTACCTGCTAGCACCAGGCCCTGGTGGCACACGACTGTCATCTCGCCGGTGTTCACAGCTGGTGGCTGCTGCCCGTGGTGGAGAGCGCGGCCCCTTTATGGAACATCAGACGCCACCCCGCGTCCACCCTTTGGACCTGGGTTCCCTCCCCGCTCTACACCCCTCCGGCGTGCCTCCCACCTTGGCGCAGCCCGCCCTGGCTCTGCTTAGAAGCAATCAATGTCTATTTCGCCCGGCTGGCTCTTTGGTTTGCAGCTGGGGTACCAAAGCTCTTGTAGAGTCAAAAAGTGTTTGGATAGTTGGGGGGCGGGGGGGACGACTTCCTCCGCCCGTGCCCGATGCAATCTGTCTGCATCGATTTCAGCTCCTCTCCTCCCTAGGTGGCCCTGGGATGACTTGCTCCTCAACCCATCAACTTCTGCAACTTCTGAGATCAAGAAACAGTGCAGACCAAAGCCCTGATGCTTTCCATCTCTTACGCACACCCTCAGCGCTGTAGCCAGGCAGTGCGCATACAGATCGCCCCTGGCCAGGACTTGCCACCTGCTCCGGTTGCCAGTGTTTCTTCCCTCCCCTCAGTTTCCCCTTCCTGGGACCCCAGACTTGGTATTCCGGTGCTTCGAACCCCTGCCATTCCCTCTGTGCTCGGACCTCCTCTCCTTTGTCACTCGGCATCAATGCTAGCTCTGCCTCACCACGACCCTCCCTCCACCCCTCAGACAAGTGCCAGCCTCGGGGATTAGCGCCCTAATTCTTCCGTGGCTTCCCTTCGCAGATCCTCGGGGGTCTCAGGGCCGCCCACCTTAGCGAGGAGTAAGTCCCTCAGATGCTCTGGTTTGCCCTACAGCAGAGGTCCTGAGAATGCGCACACACCCTACCCCGCCCTCGGGTTCCTCTGAAACTGGCTCACACTCTGCCTACAGCCTTTCCCAGTTCTGAGTTGGGCTCCACAGGGTGATAAGGATGCTCTCTGGACAGCCCAGCCTTCGCCCTCGGACCCGGTTCTTTTCCGCTTAGGTTTTCCTGTAGTGGTATTTGCTCCGCCCAGCCGTTGACCCCTTATAAGGAGCAGGGAGAAGGGGCATGTGACCCCAGGCGGACCGTGGGGCCAGACCGGACTGGAGAAACTTACCACTCACTACATTTTCCTTTTCTCACCCTTCCCTCAACCTCCAGACATGCCGCCCCACATGCGTTCTCTACCTTTCCCTTGCTTCAGCACCCAGCTTTTCTTGGCTGCTTTTTCTTCCTCTCTTCCCTCCTTCCTACCCCCTCCTCCGTCCTGTGTTTTGGCCCGACCTTCTCTTCCCACCTGCTGTTTCCTTCAGTACCCCATCTTCTGGTCTCAGCCTTCTTTGATTACTTTGCACCTGTTTCGCCCTCTGGTCCCTGCTTGGCGCACCATTCACCTGGCATTCTCCTTTTCTTTCCTCACTTATTTGGGCCTTTCTCTCCCCCTAATTCCAGCTCACTGACTGTAGAACCACTCTCACTTCCCCCTCTACCCCAGCCAGTCCTGGGACTAGCCAAAAGAATGCACATCCCTAGTCTGCTCCAGGTTAGGGATGTTTCTTTCGTGTGATGGGGATGCTTTAGTAATAGAGGACATCCTCTTCTTGCTGACCAAGAACTAGTAACATCATCCAGCTGCATTAAAAGTAAAATAGTTAACCATGTTTGTTTGAAAATGATCAGCACACAGAAAACACTCAGACTGACCGGAGTACTATGGTGGTTTGAATAGAAATGGTCCCCACAGGCCCATAGAGAGTGGCACTATTAGGAGGTGTGGCCTGACCGGAGGAAGTGTGTCACTGGGGACTGGCTTTGAGGTCTCAGATGCTCTCAAGCCAGGCTCAATGGCTCACTCTCTCTTCCTGCTGCCTGCAGATCTAGATAGAGAACTCCCAGCTATCTCTCCAGCGCCATATCTGCCTACAAACCACCATGATGACAAGGGACTAAACCTCTGAACTGTAAGCCAATCCCAATTAAATGTTTTCCTTTTTAAGAGTTGCTGTGATCATGGTGTCTCTTCACAGTAATAGAACCCTAAGATAAGCACTTTCCGTGGAATCACCAGGTGTCCATATCTCAGCAGCTTCCTGCAGTTTGAACACTGGCTTTCTGTATGTTCAGCACTAACTTCTTAGGTCCTACCCGCCCCTTAAAGATGCTCAACTCTAGATTGCCAGCAGAAAACCCAGCCGTCAAAAATTGCACTTTCTCCCTGCTAGAAAACTCTACATAGGTGCCTTTCAAAGACTTCAAATTCAATCCATTTATCTTCTCCCCTACATTCTACCCAAAATTTCCCTCTGGGTTTTGGCTGTTACCTCTGCCTTCAGCAGTCATAGCCTCCTTGGGAGGTTGGCTTATTGAGCTGGGGAGTGATAGATGTCATGGCGTCATAATCAGAACATTGCTGCTGCATTCCAAACCAGCTCAGTAGAATAACTTTGAAAGAATGAAATGTCTCCATCTCAGTTTCATCCTCCCCCTTTGTATAGCTTTTCCAAATTTGAGCGTTCACTGTCCTTCTTATTCCCACTCCTACAGCAATGCTTTGCCAATGAACAACCCACACTTAATACCAATTAATTGCATGATAAAACCATTAACCTATGTGTCTGTGGGTTGGTCGAGAGTGGTTGATCCAGGCTGAACTTAGCTGATGTTGACTGTGCTGATGCATTCCTTTGTGGAACACCTCAGAGCACAGATTTTGGCAGGACCTTAATCAGGAAAGAGCCTTAGCCCCGGCTCTCATCCTGGGATGAGTGTGCTAGACCCTCCATTCTATATGATGTCACTAAAATATAATATAAAAAACACACACAAGAAACACCTCAGACCTGTTGAGGCACGGGCCGAGAAGATCTAGCACACTCTTGCTTCCTAGTCATTCTATTGGCCAAATCAAATCACATGGCTGATTAATTCCCATTGTAGGAGCAGAAGAGTTATTGCAAAGTTACCCAGCAAAGGGCAAAGAGATTCAAGAAGAGAATTGAATCCAAAAAGGTGACTGTGTGCATTAGACACACAAAAGAGGGGATCCAATTGCAAATGTCAAGCTTGATTGATTCTCATAAAGGGAATATGTTCTCAAAAACTATACCTAGGTCAAGAGACAAAGCCTCATTCCAGGGGCTGCCCTCCCGCCTCCTTACACCCTCTCACAGAATAAGCCATTACCCTAGTCACTTCAAACACCACAAATTAGCTTTTTTTTGCTTCTGAACTTCATTTAAATGGGATCAGATAGTATTTGCTTTTGTGTGTGTTTTAATGGCACTTGGAATTTATTTTACTCAGTGATTGTCAGACACAGAGACACAGCAATGATGGTCCTGAGGGGAAAAGTTGACATTCTTAGGTCCTTAGAAACAGGAGACACAGCATGCCACACAAGACTCCCCGAGAAACAGCAGGGCCCATCAGGAAGCATCAATACTAGAGAGGAGGCAGAATAAAGAAAGACTATTATGTCCAGGAGATCAAGGTACAGAGGCTGGACCTGGCTGGCTGTCTCCTGACTCTGGACTAATTAAAACTGGCATGTAACAGCCAGAACTTGAAAGCCCAATAAAGGATGTTTTGGCTTGCTTATGAAAGGTATGTTATGGTCATTTAAATTTTGGAGAATTATCTTTCCTTGGGAAGGGTAATTCCTGTCTTGTCAGCAAGGTGTGGTTAGTGTGTGCATGTGTGTGTGTGTGTGTGTGTGTGTGTGTGTGTGTGTGTGTGTGTGTGTAGCTCATCCACATCGTTGCAAATAGTTCTGAATTATTTGTTCTCAATGTGTAGCATTCCATTAAGAGGGTGTATTCATTACAACTGACCAAAAAAAGCAATATAAGAAAGGAAATGTGACTTGAACCTCACAGTCTGAGGTGTAGTCCATTGTGGCAGGGTATGAGGTGGCTGGCCACAACACATGGCAGTCAGGAAGCACAAATGAACAATGGTGCTTAGCTTTCTTTCTGTTTTCTTCCCTTTCTGTTCAGTCCAAGACCCAAGCCCATAGGATGTTGCTGGCGACATTCAGGATGAGTCTTCCTTCCTCAACTAAACCCCTCTGAAACACCGTCTTAGGTTTGCCCAGGGTGTGTCATCCAGATGATTTCAAATGTAGTCACATTAACAATGAAAACCAATCGCAAGTTTACGCTTGCTCAATTTGACACAAACATCCCTAAATCATAACATTCCATACCTCATCATCAAAGGCTATGGCAATATCAGAACACAAATTTTATGTTTTTAAAACAACTGAAAACTACACTCTTCCCATTAAAAAAAAAAAAGACCAAAAATGGAACACCGTGTTCAATAAAAGTTAAAATTTAGAAAAGCATGATAATGGACACCCTTGGTCACAATACTTGGGAGGCAGACGCAAGCAGATCTCTGTGAGTTCGAAGCCAGGCTGGTCTACATAGTGAGTGCCAGGCTAGTCAGTGCTCAGCCCTAAATTGGAGTCACTGCCACAAGACTAAGGGAGTATCTATCCTAAGAAGACGGGGAGGAAAGAATGTAGGATCTGGAAGATGGTGAGGAGCGCTGTGGAGTGCTGTGTTCTGGATATGACATGGCCTTTGCTCGCATGAGCTCACTGTAGCAATGGTGGCTTGCACAAGAGCAAGCCAACAAGACCCATCAATATTCCAGCAAGCAGCACTAACTGGACTCAGGAGGTTATAAAAATAGTTCTTAGGAAAGGACACGCAGGTGCCAGAGGGATATGTTGGATTCGTGGAGGTAGAGAGGGGGGGTACTTAGGATCAAGCTACACTGTATATATTGTGAAGTTGTCAAAGAATAAATCAGTGATATTTTTAAAGGAAAGCAAAATTAACTTGAAGATAGATTTTTACCAAAAGAAAAAAAAAGTGGAAGACAAGCAGTCATCAATGACTTTCTAGATCAGTGGTTCTCAACCTGTGGGTCATAAACTCTTTTGCAAACCTCTATTTCCAAAAAATATTTACATTACGATTCATAACAGTAGCAAAATTATAGTTGTGAAGTAGTAACG